CTATTTTGGGCACTGCTCCCATGATGACCATTTAAGAAAAACCATGTCACTTACTGTTCTCAAACAGTACAGTAAATATGTACAGATGTGTCTGTACATATTGCCATCACCTGCGTCTGTCGTCGCCGTCATCGCCGTTGCCGGCACCTTGTACTTTCATTGTAAACACGATAAGTGGAAGGCAGTTTTACTTTTGGGCTTTATATTTAAAGAGCTGATGAATATTCATAAAACGCAGGTCAAGTTCGAAAATCAGCATGATTGGGCCATTATTGTAGAAGTTATGCTTTTTTCTTTCACTTTTCAACATATATGCAACACTGTAAACACATTTCAAGGAAAACCAATAGGCCTGTTGTCGTGAAACTCTAAGGAGTAATCCATCTTACTAAAATGGAGGTCAAGTTCGAAAATCGACATGCAGCCTGAGTTGGAAAAGCAGTCTAATTGGCTTCTTATTCTGGAAGTTATACATTTTCAAAGTGTGAACTTGAACTCTCATGGGCCTGAAGCCTTATGCTTGTTACACATTTTACTTTCATTGGTATTACCTGTTGAGCATAATTAAAATTTGATGTTGAATTTACAGTTTAACATAATGTACTTTTGCATCAGAATTGACAGTAGCCTATTTTGTGCATAGTAATTTCCTGCTTTTTGTCTGTACATTTGACAGCTTTGCTGCCTTGTTTTACTGAAAAAGAGTCTGTCACTTGGTTCAGAAGTACTTCACTGTACTTCATTTTGTACCAAAAATTCCTTTTTTTCTCCATCTTAACTTATTTTTCTATTTCCGAAACACATGTTAAATTCAGTAATTAATTTTTTCTGCAATTTACATTAAATTCCAAAGACCCTCACTTAGTAAACTCTTTACATCACACTAAATATTTATCAATTTTCCAGGAAGTTCCACACTCATTTGCTCCAGTTTGATGGCGAGGGAGGCTGGAGATTAGAGGAGTTGGACACAGCCACGCGCCTGTCTCTCAATGAGGAGAAGCAGGGACTGGAGGCTCAGCTGGCAGGCATACCTAAGATGCAGCAGAGGCTACAGGAGTTGTGCTCCATTTTGGGGGAGGACTCTGTGTTACTGGACCATGGTCATCTGATACAGCCAGAGGGGTCAGTGCTGTGATTTGGACACTGTTCACTGTGCACCCTTATAAGTCTGAGATTGACTATTGTCAATATATTCCACCCAAGGGGTCAGCAGCCTTACAAGTAGGCAAATCAAATGATATGATATAAGTTTATAATAATGATAGGAAGAGACATTTAATCTTTGTGTAATTATTAGGTGCCAAAGATGTCCAAATATAGAATGCAGAGGATGTTTAAAAACTGTATGTTGTAGTGTATTTGTGGTGAAATTGTTGTTCGAAAATCAATGAAAACAAAACATTTATCCTAGTGTTGAATTATAATCTGGTTACAACCTCAACTATTGAAAAATAACTTATTGTATGTTATAGTGATAGGTTATCTGTGGATGTGAATACTATTGTAGACACTTTTTTGATAAGAAATGAAAAAAGTGATACCTTTTGATGTTCCACCCAGTCTGCACAGATTTAAACTCCATAAGTTTCCAGATCATTAATCTGCTGTAGGCTATTAGAAAATGTGGCATATTCTGCTTCTTGTCCTGTTATGCTTTAGTTTCCTAGTAATAGTTGATTTGAAATGGCAAATCATGAACAAGATATTTATTCTGAAATAAGGCAGTTTTTATCTTAAATATCCTTACCTGTTAACCTTTTAAATGGGTTAGAAATTTCTTTTCTGATTAGGTGTTTTAAATATTAAGTAGCTAGAAGTTCTCCTCTTAGATAAAGCCATTTCACTTTTTTTTTTGTCTAGTTTTCATGATATACTGTATTTATTGAAAGATTCTTAATGCTCATGAAACTTTTGATTTTTATGTATATTTAATTGTCTTTTTGATAGAAATGTGATATCATATTTATCAAAATAATTTTCAATTTTTACTTAGTTCATTCAAAGAGAGCACCAGTATTATTAAAATTAATCTGTGGAATAAGTTTAATTTTTTTAATATTTGATAATCATTTTTTAGAACAAGTTTCCAGAAATAAAGTCAGAATTATCATAATGTATAACAAAGCATTGTAGTCAGAGTATATGTTAGAAGGCATTTAAAACATCTTGTTCACAGAAGGCATACTTATACACATGCACATAAAAAATAAATAAATGAAATGTGGTTCAGATCCTATGTTGTAATTTCTTCCTAGATCTCAATGAATAATCAATAGTCTCCTGCCATTGTCTCAGTTTGCCATCAGTATTAGTTAGCTTATTAACATACCTGTATTTTAAGTACATGAAATGGATTATATTTGAGCATTGCACATTTATCTGTCATTAGGTTTTACCTGTTATGATACTATAATAGGAATTTTGACATTTATATGGGTAACTTCAAAAGACAGTTGATTCAAATTTAGTCAGTTGATTGCAACCCTCTTTACTTTATAGTGGTTGGGATGGTAGTTGAACCCATGTGCTTGTTCATGCACACAGGGAAAAGGGCCTATTTTTGATAAAACTGTTGAGACAGAGAGCTAAAGAAGAAAGCAAGAGTACATCTTCATTATAGAGCATAATGTAGGTCTTCTATATCAAGGTTCTTTTACACACTCCAACTGGAAACCATGTCTAGCACCCTGAAACAAGGACAATAAATTGGTCGAAATTGAAAACTGTCTTTTTAACACATTTTACAGTAATGTCAGTGCAATCTTGAATATGTGTCACAGAATAAGAATAATTTATCTTAACTCATACTGAAGATTTAAATAGACTGTTGCTAGGTCCCCATTCCCATAGACACAACTGGTCTACAAAATCAACCCAACTGTTAGGGGGACTCTCACTGAGTGCAATTGGCTAAGCCTGGATGAGGAACGCTACCTCTTGTTACCAACTAATTAAATGTATAATTACCACTTTTCTGTATTCTAGTTTATACCAGGAGGAGGCATGTCATACAGTTAAGCTGATTGCAGTCATGGAGAGTCCTTGCAGAGTTGGGTCATATACCTACAATTGTCTGAGGGGGAGATTTCCTTGCATGCCCTACTTAATTCCCCTATTCCCACACACACACACACACACACACAAACACACACACAAACAATAAAAAATGCTTCTTTTTTAAATGAACTGTTTTTTTATGCTTTGGAAAGTAACACTTTTTATGCACAGACAGATATATAGCCATCAGCTGCATCTGTCATCCCCCTCGCCATGCACTTTCAGGGATAACACGATAAGTGAAAAAACGTTTTTACTTTTGTCTTCAAACTTAAGGAACTGATGAATATTCATAAAATGCAGGTAGAATTGAATCAGTATAATTGGGGCATTTTTTCAAAAGTTATGCTCTTTTTAAATACAGACACAAAAACCGCATTGAATATATATATGTGATCGGTCTGTGTTGTCACCATCCTGTCACATGAAGTTCACCCCAGAACTGACATACTTTAAATTTTCCGAGTGGCTTTTTTTGGTAAAGAGACAGATTGCTTTCAAAAATTGGCATATTTCCAGATGGACCACAACATGGACCTGCTAATGACAGGCTCCAATGGCTTTGGTAAGAGCTCCCTAGCTGTTCTAAAAGTTGCCACGGGCCCAGAACTGCCATACTGTATTTTTGTTTTACTTTAAATTTACTGAGTGGCTTTGTTTGGTAAAGAGGCTTGTTGCTTTCAAAAATCAGCATAATATTTCCAGATGGACGACAACATGGACCTGCTGATACATATAACAGGCCCCAATGGCTGTGGTAAGAGCTCCCTGTTCCATATTCTGAGTGGTCTGTGGCCTGTGTATAATGGTCGCCTACATAAACCACCACCCAAATCACCACTCAAAGATATATTCAGATGTGTAAACCTGCAACATATTATACAGAGAGAAGGGGGTAAGATGTCTGCAGAAAATATGTACAGTTTTTGATAGATACAGTTTCTATTTTCATATGTATATACATTATCTATGTTCATCACAGGAGTAACGCATCTTAATCCTAATTAATCATATCATCTGATATGTTTCCATTTAATTATAAGAACTATAACTTCTTTTATTGGCTTGGGAGTTTAGAGTTAAGTAAAGTCAAATCCCCGTCTTCTTCGCTAGTGGATATCTCATTTCAAAATTATGTTCAGGGATGATATCTGCAAATCTAAATCATTTGTAATCTAAAACCACTTTATTACTTTATGTCATTAAGACTAGTTATATCATACTTTGTCTGAAATATTCAAAATGTATTTAAAAATTTAAGAAATATATTAATTTTAATTCATTATCCATTAAGAGTTGTACTGTTCCAGGCTGGGGAGCTGAGAGTGACTGGAAGGATGTGTTATCTGGAGGAGAGAAACAGAGGATAGGAATGGCAAGGATATTCTACCACAGGTACACCAAACTTACTCAACTACCTTGACTGAAATGAGGGAAAATTAAGGAGAAATTATTTAAGATTTTTGTGGTAGGCGAATCATTGGGTTTGTTTGGTCATCCTGCTCTATGAGGTACTGATGCAGCCAAACTATTATGTTTTATTGTTATACTACATATAACATTTGTGGTTGGTGTATTGGGTGGAGTAAAAATTAAGATGCTTAATCCTTAAGTTTTAATGTCTCAGAAATAATTTATTAATTCAATGAAATCCTGTTTAATACTACCACATTGTACTGCCACTGACATAGTAATGATTTGACTCAGTGATTATTTACATCAACAATCTTAATTAATTTATCAAAATAAATCCCAATTAAAAAACACATTTATTTTAATGTAATACATTCTATTTGACTGTACTTTGGTTATACCTGTGTATTTACATGTGTATATACATACATTTTTGCTATACTTTATTATACAACAATCGGCGCTTTGAACAATTTGATAGTCTATTACTGTTTTCATGTGAAAAAGATTTCCCATTTAGACCGAGATTTATTAAATCAGTGTGGCCAAAGTTGTTGACTGAATATATGTCAAATCTTGTACCAACAACATGACTGCTGCACATAGTCTGAGTGAGTCCATGCAGTCAGTTCTCTTGGTCACTTGATTAGTCTATTTAAGGAGGGTAGCAACCTCACTTTGTCCATTTTTAGTGTGGTATTCCCTTAATAAATCAAATACCTTGTTCCCGTTTTGAGAATGCCCAGAAATACTGCAGTTTTCTCTGGATGTGGTGTGTCTGTGGTTGACTTTGAGCAGTGATAACTATCCACTGCTGATCTGGCCTAAGGCAGGAAGATGGCATTAAACCACTGCTGCGGCTGGTGAAACATATGGCCACTGGGCTCTGCGACCTGTCCTGGGCCTCATTGTGACTGGCTAGTTTAAGATGAGGGTTAAAGGTTTGCAGAGAGTTCAGTCCAGTGCTGCTGGTGCTCTGTGTGCTGGGAGAGCTACTGTCTTACACACAGCTTGGCAGAGATAAACTGTTGATACTGTGCTCTGTGGAAAGAAGAGAACAAATATGTTGTAACTCCACTGGATAACATTTAAGTATTTTTTCTGTAGTTTGATGCATAATATAAAATTGGTGTCAGGCTGTACTTTTGGCTTACCCCAGAGTATACCTTACATGAAGTTTTTAACCCTAAGGTTTGTATGGTCTTTATTCGGGCAGATAACATGCCAGATACATTTTGTTTAAATTGTCTTCACAACTTTTTACCTATTCTGAAAATGTAAAAAAGGGGTAAAAAATCTTTTAAAATATCACAGTACAAACCTGACTCTGCACTGACATGGCACTGACTGTTTTAGATTGTCATCCTCCACATCATCTTGTCATAGGCAGGATATGACTGGAACTTGGGTTACACATGCCCCTGATACTACTGGTTGGACTTCCAACTTTCCCATTCCTCCTCTGATGGATTATTTGACATAAAGTGGTCTCATCTGCAGAAGTTATAACATTTTATTAAAGATCCAGCAACAAACTTCACCAGCTGTTTTGTGTGCTCAAATTTACAAGAAAAGGTTTTCTATCCTTAAAGCCCCATTTCTCTGTGACACTAAAACATTGGGCTGGTGATAAAGACCTATAGCTGTTGTTGTAGTATTATAAGTTCATATAAGGGGGTTCAATCTAATGCAACATAGTGCATTCCTAATTAAAAATAACTTTTCACATTTGTTAAGCAGCATCTCAGTGTAAGGTTTTTCCCCACCCTCCCTCTCCATTTCTGATACAGAACTGGACAGACATCAACATCTAATAAAACAAAGATGGCCTATCATATCACATGTCCTGCTGTCCATCCTCCCTCTCCATTACTGATAAAAAACTAGACAGACATCAACATATAATAAAACAATATTGGCCTATCATATCACATGTTCTAACCTGTAGGTGTACAGCTGTATGCCTTACTCCTCTTCCCACCATGCTCCTGTTCCCACCAAGTAGCATATCATAGCTATCATTATAATCCCTGCCAATGTTTACTCTTCGTCCATTCTTGCTCCATTATTTCCACATAAGGGGGTCTCTAGATTGCTGATGGTCAGCTGTCATGTCCTCTATCTCACTCATGGATTATATGGATTAGTTAAGGTCACTGGGTAAAGCAGCTGCCAGAAATTACTGCAGGAACAGTCCTTTAGTATATCTGACCAAGATTCATTGTTTTTCATTTCAAAAAGCATTTATGAACTAGATGTATGCAGCTGATAAGGTATAAGTTTTTCATTACATTAAGAATTAAAATGAATTATTGAACATTGGGAATACCAACTTCATATAACATGACTGCCACAGGTACTGAGTCCACACAATCAGTTTTCTTGACCACTTGGTCTATCTTAGAAGGGAAGCAAGGTCACTTTGTCCATTTTCAGTGAGACATTTCCTTAATAAATCAAATGCCTCATCTCCTCTAGTTTTGAGTATGTCAAGGAAGACAGCAGTTTTCTCTGGACATACCACCGTGGTAGTTGAGGTTTGGTCATGGTGTTGAGGAGGCTCTGCTCTCACCATTTCATCTTCACGAAGGGTGATGATGCCTTCTTCGAGGAACTTATTTAACATGTCTTTGAGGCAGGGTTCTGTGATTTTTTCACAAAGCCTTGGTTTTTCTATCTGCAGAACTGAAACAATTAAATAGCTCTGATATTTTTTTCAAATGATATACATATGACAGATAAAAATTATCTGTTGTCATTATGTAAAATTAGATATTATATTAGAAGACAACAAAGCTTTGATACATACATAGGCAGCAGAGGCAAGTGTAGAAGAATGCAAAAGATTTAACAGAAAAATCCCTACTGCTGTAAGAACAGTTATTTAATTACATGTTAACTAAGCACATAGAGATAACATATGAACCTTTTTAAAAAAAAAAAAAAAAAAAAAAAAAAAAAACAGTGCTAAGTATGGGAAGTCAATCATTGGGGCAATGTTTTTACAGCTAAAATGCAGCACTTAATAAAAACAGATGTACATGAATTCAATGTAAAACCCTTCTTTTTTGTACACTTTTTGGGTGCCATGTTTAGGTGAGGGCAGTTCGACAATATTGTTGAGCAAAGAGAAACAAAAGAAAGAGAACAATGCCATTATACTGCTGTGCTTACCTTCCTGCCAGCTCATGGCCAGGTGTGGTGGGTAGACCAGGTCTGCAGGAATGGAGACACCAGTATTGACACATGTCACCTGTCTTAGTTTGGAAGCTGCCCTCAGGGTAAGGTCAAGTATCTCTCCAGGGAAATGGTATGGGTGCTCACTGTTCTCACTCACACAGTGGGGACACATCAGATATTTGTCATATGGCAGCCCAGGCCAGTCCTCTTCAATGATGTTCATGAGGTCATGGTGACTTTGTGCAAGAACACCCCACATGTCTGAAAGCTTTGATCCACGGACAGCAATGCTGATAAACCAGTCTGGGTCTTGGCTGACTGCATCAGGATTTGACTGGTGTGCCCCCCGTGTCAGCTGCATTTTGCACTTTTTAACTTCTGCATACACCCCATCCTTCCAGTCCATTCGTTTGGTCTTCATGAGTCCAAGATACTTGTGCTGACGAACAGAAAATTTCTCATATAAGCCATCTGGACATTTGTATGGAAAGAGAACCTGCAGGGTCAGTTGTGTGGTGTCTGGGGGAACCTTGCTGGGCCATTTGGTGTCTAGCTCAGGTTGCCTTTCTTCAGTGAGGAGCCATGGAAAGTGGAATGAGGTATTGGATGGAAGATATTCATGATCCTGGACTTGATAGCACAACTCCAGTGTCTGCATCATTTCTATCATGACATCAACTTCAGTGCTTGACAATTTAAAAGGCTCACACAGGCAGCCCATAGCTTCTTTGGATATGATGCCTCTGGTGAAGATGTCTTCATGTATGGTACTTGCTTTGGTTCCAGTAATCTTCATGGACTTCTGGAGCTTCTCTGATATGGCATCTTGATCATGACTGAGGACAGCCTTGAGAACATTCACTAGAACCTCTTGCTTGTGGAAAACTACTTTCATCAGTGAGGGACATCTATCAAACCAAATGATGTCTCCACGATGAGCAAGGAAACTTAAGATGTCACATATCATTCTGTCTGTTTCTTCCTTTGAGTTCTTCTCTTTCCATGATGTAGGTGCATTCTGCAGAATGAGGCCTTTAATCATCTCCCAGCCAAGTGTGTTTTCAGAGCCTTCAATTTTCTTGGTGCAGATATTCTTGGCTGCTTCAACCCACATACCTGGCAAAACTTCAGCATTTCTCCTGGAGAAAGAAATGAGGTAGTCTTGCAGCACTTTAACTCCTTCACAGGTTTTTGAACTGACTCTGAAAATATCCTTGTGGATGGGTTTCATTTGATCATACAAGGTCTGCAGTTTATCTGATTTGCTTTGGTAGGCCTGGTGGAGAGATGCTTGGATTTTAGGTGTTTCTCTTATTCTCTTCTCAATGCTCTTCTTTTGCACTTGATACCACTGCTTCTTTTTGTTTAAGTGGTCTTCATGTTGCTTGTTTATTGCAAAACACTTGTTTTCCACATGCTGGATCATTACCTCATCAATATGAGTTCCAATTAGAGCTAATTGTATCCCTGGCATCTGTGCCTGCACCTTGTCAATCCAGTGTCCAATGTAGAGCTGGTAATGAGCCTTGTCTTCTGGGTCATATTTAGACAGATCAAAAGTGATGAAAACCAAGCCAAGTTTGGAAATAAAAATAGGATGTCCTATTTTGTAGATGTCATGTCCACCAAAGTCATTGATGTTGAAGCCAATATTCTGGTCTGTCTCATCTTCATGAGCCTCCCATAATCCCTGCTCCACCACTCTTGTCCTGTCTGCCGTCTTTGTAAGAGTAGACTTTCCATTTTGCAGTGTGCCTGAAATGCTAGTTTTTCCTGCTTCTGTTTCACCAAGTAAGTTGACCTGTATTCTACTTGACTGGATTGCCTTGGTGTCAGTTAATGCCTCAAAATACCTCTTGATGGCACCTAGCCCCCTCTTGGCAGTATCTTTAGGTGGTTGTACCAAAGGATTACGATCCACATCTAGTCGTATAAGGCTTTCCATATTCTTTATTTGATGTGGCAGGTGAGTGATTTTATTGCCTGACAGGTGAAGTCTCTCAAGTTTTGTCAACATGGTGATATCCACTGGTATGTCAGATAGCTGGTTGTATGACAGGTCCAGCTTCTCTAGGTTAGTCAAACCACACAGTGCTGTGGGGAATGTAGTGAAGGCATTCTTGGATAGTTTCAACACTGTGAGGTGTGACAAGTTGGATATGGACTGTGATACATTGTAAAAGAGGGATAATGTTCTAAGTATCTTAAACCTGCTGATATCCACTGGTATGTCAGATAGCTGGTTGTCACCCAGGTCCAGCTCCTCTAGGTTAGTCAAGCCAAACAGTGCTATAGGGAATGCAGTGAAGGCATTGTTATGGAGCTTGAATATTCTGAGCACCTTCAACCTGCTGATATCCACTGGTATGTCAGATAGCAGGTTGCCTGACAGGACCAACTCTATTAGGTTAGTCAAGCTACACAGTGCTATGGGGAATGTAGCAAAGGCATTCCTGGATAGTTTCAACACTGTGAGGTGTGTCAGGTTGGATATGGACTGTGGTACACTGTAAAAGAGGGAGAATATTCTGAGCACCTTCAACCTAGTGATATCCACTGGTATGCCAGATATCTTGTTTTGTGACAGGTACAGCTCCTTTAGGTTAGTCAAGCCACACAGTGCTATGGGGAATGCAGTGAAGACATTGTTAGATAGGGAGAATACTCTGAGCACCTTCAACCTGGTGATATCCACTGGTATATCAGATAGCTGGTTGTTATCCAGGTCCAGCTCCTCTAGGTTAGTCAAGTCACACAGTGTTATGGGGAATGTAGTGAAGGCATTGCAGGATAGTATCAACACTGTGAGATGTGGGAGGTTGGATATGGACTGTGGTAAAGAAGATAACCTGTTATTGTATGCATATATCTGCTGAACATTTGTGCACCTGTCAATGGACTCTGGTAGGTTGTATAAATAAGCATTGTCTATATCAAGCTGAGTCCATTTCAGTACAGTGTCTGGTGTCTTGGACTGTGGAAGTAACTGTAGCCTATGTAAGAGATCAAGTCTCTGTTTGTGTGCTACTTGTATGTAAGCCATGTCTCAGGAATGGAACAGTAGGAAGAGGTGTCACTGCTCTATATGTTTATGTTCATAGGTAGTAAAATTTGAATGTTTGAGTGGATAGTTATGTATTTGTCACCAAATTTAGAAGTATCCTCCCCCTGATAACAGACATTTTGCTTTAAAGGAGGGTAACTTAAAAAATGATCAACTCAATCCATAAACCATATTTTGGTCCTTGAACATTCTTGTTATCTGAAATTAGAAAATGATAAATTGGTAGAAAAATTGGCAGTTATTTCTTTTGTTCAAAAATCTATACTGAGCATTCAAATTATTGTTTTTTTTTATCAAGAGCTTGTAAAATATGTGGGTATTACCTCCAATATTTCTGTGACTGTCAGTCACCATCCTCAGGGAGTAAATGACTAGGGTCATTTCACCTGGAATGAAAATCCAGGTCAATTGCCCCTAATCACTGGCCTTGTGGCCTTGTGATAAAAAGAAAAACAATAATTTGAATTTATACATACAGAGCTAATGAAACTGTTCTCTCTATACTGAGCAGTGTGATGTGTAGAATTCTTTGCCAAAAATAACATTTAATTATTTCCTGTGGTCCATCACCAACATGCAGTTGTATTTAGTATGGCTGTTACTGTAGATAGTGACAAACTGGAAATATCTTGTAAATATCTTAATTATAGAGAAGTGTTTTGGTGACAGAAGTACTCTTCATTTGGCACAAGATGTAAATAATAACATGTATTAATTTGGTGCATTTTAACCACTTTTGCGTAATGTGAAAGGTAGATATTTGTTTTTAAGGTAGTAATTTTATCACCTCATGGGATGTAATGTGGATGTTGACACATGTACAGGTTTTCTGAAAAAAAAATGGAGCAGATTGAAAAAAATGCATCCATTGTCTTTACTGTAAGTAGAAATCTACAGAAAACAGCAAGTGTTAAGTTTCTCTATCTTGCACAAAAACTTTTCTAACATTGTTTTATTACTGTAATGGTATAAGAACTAAGTAATTCATGAAGCATTAATGTATTGAAAGTATTTTTAAGTTTTAAGAGTTGGTTAAAATTGAATTATGGCATTAAAGTAATATTTTACCCAATATGAAAAGAAGTTTCAGTATAATTATAACATTACATACCTTCTGACTTAAAGTTTTTAGTTTTGGATGGTATGATGTACATCAGGACAAGCATACAGGAAGAATATTATGCTTTCTGGAAAAAGAAAAAAACGTATAGAAAGCCATGTATTCTCTCTCAATAAGTTTAAAAAAAAGATCAATAGAAGAAAGTAGGTGCTAAGCTGAGCAACAGCAATTTTAACATGATTATAAAGCACATGATTATATAGATCAAGTATGGATATCAGTTATATTGGTTAGCCTCTTTTAACATGCTCCACTTCAGCTATCCTATTAGCTAGCTCATGACCAGTTATGATGTTTTTAAACCAGATAATTGTTTAATGCAAAACGCAAAATATCACAAAACATCCTCAAACCAAAGGCCTGTAAATAAACAAGCACCAATCAAAATCTTTATTAAAAGTGCCAAGCGCACTTGAAACTATAGAAATTAAGATGTAAAATTGCATTTAATTACAACCAGGGTTTATTATGATTACCTATCAATGAAAGATGTTTCAATGAAGTCCCATGTACCACTTGGTATTTAACTTTGCCAGGAAAACAAATAAATTTAAATAGATACAATTACCACAAATGTAAGATTCAGGGCTGTGAGAATTTTAAGAACTTCAAGGTGCCTCTACCATTATATGAACAACTGGCGGAGCTGGTAGTATTCTGTTACAGTACTGCTGTTGATAGAATAACTTTAAATATTATATAATATTTTTCCTACAAATCTTTCCACCTCACATGTTTACAAGTTGTTCTCACTCTGCTGTAAGGTACTTCACAAAACCTGCTGCTGGTACATACTCAAGAGGTAGCTCTATAAACTTCTGGTTCAGCTGGTGGTACATACTCAGGAGGTGGCTCTATAAACTTCTGGTTCAGTTGGTGGTACATACTCAGGAGGTGGCTCTATAAACTTCTGGTTCAGTTGGTGGTACATACTCAGGAGGTGGCTCTGTGAGCTTCTCATTCAGTTGGCCCTGTACTGTAACTGTAGTGGATGAAAATACTAAGCATATGATGTGATATGATGGACATTATTGTGTCAAGCCAGGTGTCTAGATTTTGTGCAAAATTTTATCATTTAAAAAGAATGAACCAGATAAAAAGGTTCTCACAGTGTAATACCAAATTTAAAAACAATAAACATTTATTTTGATATTCTTTATAAAACAATTCAATCACCTAAATAGAAACATCCATATGACCACAAAAGAAAAAGATCCCCCATTTTGTGTTTATTCATTTCCTACAAAATTTTGAATATTTATGATAATTTGCAATATGTAACATCAGAATGCACCTACAGGTACTTTGAAATACAAGTTGTTTTTTCAGTCCAAGTTGTCAGCAATCGCAGGTGCTATAATAGAATTTCATAAATATCTTGTATACCATAATCAAAAATGCAAAAAAAGATGGCTGCTGCAAATAAAAATCACGTGATGTTGAAAGTGCCTTCTGGTATGTCACTAGAGAAAATAATGAAAAGTGCCTTGTCTTCACAGCAGTGAGACTGAGATAAAATGTAATTTATTTCTGAAATTTTATTTTGAAAAATGATCTTTTCTTTTGGTTGGAGAAATTATTTCAACATTAAAATGCCAAGTCTCGTGTAAGTATCATTCTGATGAGATATTTATCTTAAATCAAGTCTCTCTAACTTTCCCTGTTCACCTGTACTGGTGTGTGTGTACACAGGGAGGAGGTAGATTAAATATCACAAATATAGAATGCAGAGGAGTTTTA